TTGGGGGGGGGGGGGATATTAAATGATGGCCCAGGTATATAAATGTTCATTTGTATAAAGATCACTTGTTAAAAAGCTTGCATGCCAGGTTTGTGGACTTGTCTCACCAATATAGTAAATAAATAAACACTATATGTATATTAAAAAATACTATAATTTTTTAATACTATATTTTTTTAATACACAGGTCAGGAAGAAGAAACTTGCAAAAGTTCTCAAACAGATTGTATCCAAGTTGACATGGTTGGATGTCAAACTGAACTTACAGTCAAAAATATGAAAGATTTGGAAGATGCCGCCACATCAATACTTGCTGCGACAAAGAAGCAACTGTGTTCTACGCAATTAAATGAAGATGCGTTTTTAAACGACAATGAGAAAACAAAGTTTTACACAGGTCTACCAAATTTTACAATCCTGATGCATGTTTTCAATCTGCTGACACCTTATATCAAATCTGGTACAAGAACATCTTTGTCAAAATTCCAACAATTCATTCTTGTGTTGATGCGAACGAGACTTGATGCTCTCCTGCAAGACCTTGCATATAGATTTAGTATTTCTGTTGCAACCGCGAGCAGAATATTTGAAAGATGGATTGATGTAATGAATATCCAATTGAAATTCTTGAACCTGTGGCCAGAGCATGAAGAACTAAGGCGTACAATGCCTGCAGTGTTTAAACAAAACTTGGCAACAAAGTTGCAGTTATAATCGACTGTTTTGAGGTGTTTATAGACCGGCCATCAAGCTTGATAGCTAGGGCCATGACATGGTCAAATTACAAACATCATAATACTATTAAATATCTTATTGGGGTTACACCACAGGGGTCAGTTTCATTTATATCAAAGGGGTGGGGAGGCAGAGTTAGCGACAAACACTTGACTGAAAATTGTAATCTTTTAGACAACCTTTCACCTGGAGGTATTGTTTATGCAGACAGGGGGTTTCATATAGCAGATAGTGTTGCTATGTTCCAGGCCAAGTTATATATACCTGCATTCACAAAGGGAGAAAAAAACAATTGAGTGCAAAGGAAGTGGAAGAAACATGCAAGATTGCAAATGTTAGAATCCATGTGGAGAGAGTGATCGGATTGGTAAGAAGAAAATATGTTATTCTACAAAGTACTTTGTCTATTCACTTGCTAACAACCAAATCTGGGGAGTCTATAGCTCCAATCGACAAGATAGTGACAGTATGTTGTGCTCTTACTAATCTTTCTGACTCAATAGCACCCTTTGATTAACTAAAAGTTTGTACAGTAGTTATAAAATATTGGAATTACATGTTATAAAAAATGTTTGAAGTAGTTACTTTTGAAATTCAAAACTATATGTAAGACATTCAATGTAATAGTGATTCCTACTTCTCTATACAAGTTGGACAAATCCAATTACCCACTGGCTCAACACTTAGCAGGGCCTTTTTTAACGT